GTTCACCTCCCAGCTGCAGGAATCTGCCTTGGGTTGGTGGTAAGTCCCTGACATCTGCTGGAGCTCAGGGGGAATAATGGCCTCACGTCCACTGGATGCTGAGAACACAAGTTTCAGTAATGTGCTGAGTACAGAGAAAAAGGGGTAAATGGACAACATGCATTGCTTATTTATGTGCATGGCTGTGTGCACCACCGTAAAGGAAAAGGGGGCGTTCAGCATGGCTTCTCCATCAAGGAGTTCTGAGTCTACTGGGGGGAGGAGGCCACTTTAATGGCCACAAAACATATGTTTGCATGGATGTGTCATAGTTTCCTACCAATCGTTTGGGAGTTTTTGTCAATATTTTGCTCCTAAGAGATTATCGAAGGCACATCCTAACTATAAGATGCCAACCTCTTCTGCAGCTCAGTCCTTGCTTACGTTGTGTGTCAGTTTCTGCCTTGTGACATGGTTACCTCTGGACGCAGCCTCCCCCCCCAGTAGACTCAGAACTCCTTGATGGAGGAGCCATGCTGAATGCCCCCTTTTCCTTTACGGTGGCGCAAACAGCCATGCACATAAATGAGCAGTGCATGTTCATTGCAGCTCTATTTACAACAGCCAGGACATGGAAGCAACCTAAGTGTCCATCATCAGATGAATGGATAAAGAAGATGTGGCACATGTATACAATGGAATATTACTCAGCCATAAAAAGAAACGAAATTGAGTTATTTGTAGTGAGGTGGATGGACCTAGAGTCTGTCATACAGAGTGAAATAAGTCAGAAAGACAAAAACAAATACCGTATGCTAACATATATATATGGAATCTAAAAAACAAAAAAAAAAATGGTCATGAAGAACCTAGGGGCAAGGCGGGAATAAAGACACAGACCTACTAGAGAATGGACTGGAGGAAATGGGGAGGGGGAAGGGAAAGCTGGGACAAAGTGACAGAGTGGCATGGACATATATACACTACCAAACGTAAAATAGATAGCTAGTGGGAAGCAGCTGCATAGCACAGGGAGATCAGCTTGGTGCTTTGTGACCACCTAGAGGGGTGTGATAGAGAGGGTGGGAGGGAGACGCAAGAGGGAAGAGATTTGGGGATATATGTGTATGTATAACTTTGTTATAAAGCAGAAACCAACACACCATTGTGAAGCAATTATACTCCAATAAAGATGTTAAAAAAAAGAAACTCAACAATAAGAAAACAACCTGGTTAAAAAAAAAAAAGAAAGAAGGTAGATTTATATATAAGAAAAAAATCTCTAAAACATATTGTTAAGTGAAAAAGAAGGATATAGAACAATGTATAGTCTGATCCTATGTATATGGAAAAGGGACACACACACACACATAATGCTTAAAATGTATAATATATAATGCCTGAAAAATATATTTATAAATATTGTATGTACTTAAAATATTTCTAGATGATTCGCAAGAAACTGTGAACAATGGTGTACTTCTGAAGAGTGAGACTTTCTATTTTGTATCATTCCAAACGATTTGATTTTTAAAACCATTTTTTTAAAAAACCATTTTTAATGAAAAAAATACATGTTATCTTTTTTTTTTTTTTTTAAGGCTTTACCATTTTTTTTTGTTTTCTCGTTTAGAACATCTTTCTGCACATTGTGGACTTATCTGATCCCAAGACAGTCTGGAAATTTGTTGAAAATTTCAAGCAGGAACATACCCTCAATGTCCTGGTGAGCTTTGTAAACATAGGTAGGGGATAAATCTCATGTATGTGCATTTCTTGCCTGTGTGGTTGTAGACTGGTGTGTATGTTTGTGGATCTTCATGGTGACACCTTAGTGAGAATCTTGTATGGGGAGGCCTGTTCAGTCATCAAGTTCACTCATTGGAGTCAATCTAACCCTATTGGTTGGATTTGTGGGGAAAGGAAGGGACCATCCACTGGGTCTGTGGGGGGATGGGGAGGTTCCATTTTATTCATAAAATGATGATTTGTATACTGGTATTCCTGAGCTCTGTAGGTTTGGGGATTGCTATATTAAAATTAGAGGCTCAGGGGGAAATTACATAAAAAGCTTAGTCCAAAAGAATGCCTGCTGCAGACAAGCACATCTTTTCGTAGCACAGTCAGTTGCTCTCTAGAGAGAGCTAGAGACTCAGGTGGGCTGGTGTCCTCCTCCTCCTCGCATATACTCTGAGCTGAGCTGCGTTTCTACCCAAGTAGTTTCTAATGTGCTCCGAAATGTTCACTCAGGCTCAGGTCTACTCTTGGCGCCGTCCAGCATGGCTATGGAGCATTTGAAATGCAGCTAGTCCAAACTGAGATGTGCCACCAGTGTACAAATCTGCTGATGTTGAAGACTCAGTGTGAAAAATAGAGTAAACAGGGCTTCCCTGGCGGCGCAGTGGTTGAGGGTCCGCCTGCCGATGCAGGGGACGCGGGTTGGTGCCCCGGTCCGGGAAGATCCCACGTGCCGCGGAGCGGATGGGCCCGTGAGCCATGGCCGCTGAGCCTGTGCGTCCGGAGCCTGTGCCCCGCAACGGGAGAGGGCACAGCAGTGAGAGGCCCGCGTACCGCAAAATAAAAAAAAAAAAAAATAGAGTAAACTAACATTTTTATATTGATTACATTTTGAAATGATACTCTTTTGGATATATGGAGTTAAATAAAATATTAAAATCAATTTTACCTGTTTCTTTTTACCTTTCTAATGTGGCCACTTTCTAGAAAACTTAAAATTATATATTTCTATTGGACAGCGCTGGTCTAGACGAATTCCTGGGGCACTTTATCGTGAATTAGGTTGCCGGGCCAAGCCCTGGTCGTCGGAGGTCTCTGCACAGTCCCGTGGCTGAGGCTGCTGCACAAATGGCATTTTCCAGGACGGGGTTTGGAGTGAAGGGACAGTTGAGCAGAACTGTAGTCGTCACGAGTGTGGGACCAGTGGTGGTGGTGGAACCGTGGGGTTTGGGAACAGGTCCTTTGGCCCTGTTTTCCTTTATTTTGAAATGGGAACTGTACTTTCTAGATCAATAATGCAGGTTGCATGGTCAATGAGAGAGAGCTCACGGAAGATGGACTTGAAAAAAACTTTGCTACCAACACTCTGGGTAAGTGTAAGCAGTTTTCTTGTTTGCTTTTAGCAAAATAAACGTAGACATAAATGATACCGTGGAAGGATCAGAAAAACATTGATCTACTTTTTGGGTTCTTGGTCCTTGGCGTGATTGCATTTACTTTAAAGTTATCCTTCACTGCATTATTATTTCTTCATAAAACACTCTTTTCATGTTTTACATAATATGCGTTAGTGCCAGGAATACTTAGCCTTGTTAAAGTTTTTTTTTCTAGGAAGCTCAAGGCTCATTATAGACATGACTTTGGTGAGAAGGGCAAGGTCATCTTAGGTGGAAAGTGCAAACATGAAAACTGTAGCCAAGGGAACTTCCAGCCAGGGCTGAGAAAGGTGCAACCATGAGACCAGAAGATGGGCCAGGAAGGGCACTCACCTGGAATGCAGGGCCCCTGGGTTCCGGTTCCTGCTCTGTAGTAACAGGCTGACTCATTTTGTGCCAGGCCAGTGATTCTCAAAGTAGCGTTCCTGGGCCAGCAGCCTCAACATCACCTGGCAGCTGGGTAGAAACGCACATTCTTGGGCTTCACCCCCAGCTCTACTAAATCCAAAACTAGGATGGGGCTGAGAAATCTGTGTTTTAACAAGCCCTCCAGATGATTCTGATGCACACTAAAGTTTAAAAACCAACGTACCAGGATTTTAACCTCTTTGGATTTTCTCCATCTCAAACCAAGGGGTCTGGATCTCCCTCAACTTATGTTGGGGTTAGGTCCCAGTCAACCCATCATAAGTTGATCATATAGTAAACTGAAAATGCATTTAATCCACCTAACCTACCGAATATCGTAGCTTAGCCCAGCCTACCTTAAACATGCTCAGAACACTTACATTAGCCTACAGTTGGGCAAAATCATCTAACACAAAGCCTAATTTATAATGAAGTATTGAATATGTCATGTAATTTATTGAATACTATACTGAAAGTGAAAAACAGAACGGTTGTCTGGCTCCAGAATGGCTGTAAGTGTGAGGGTTGTTCACTCTTGTGATCACCTGGCTGACTGGAAGCTGCGGCTCGCTGCCCTGCATCCCGAGAGAGCATCACACCGCATATCACCACCCCGGGAAAGGTTCAAAATCCAAAATTTGAAGTGCGATTTCTACCTAACGTGTATCACTTTCACACCATCATAAGCCAAAAAATCATAATTCAAACCATCATAAGTCAGGGACCAACTGTAGACTATTTCGGTGCCTTTCAACTCGGAGATGCAATGAATCTAAGATTCTCCCCAGTGACGATACCATTTCCTCATAGGAAGTGAAGCTTTTTTTTTTTTTTTTTTTTTTTTTTTTTTTTTTTTATACTTGTCTCACTGTTGTGGCCTTTCTTTTGCAGTACGCGGGCCTCTCACTGCTGTGGCCCCCCCCCGCCGCGGAGCACAGGCTCCGGACGCGCAGGCTCAGCGGCCATGGCCCACGGGCCCAGCCGCTCCGCGGCATGCGGGATCCCCCCGGACCGGGGCACGAACCCGCGTCCCCTGCATCGGCAGGCGGACTCTCAACCACTGCGACACCAGGGAAGCCCGGAAGTGAAGCTTTTAATAAGGCATTTTAACTCGTCCTAAGTCACAGGATGAGTGGCGGGGGTTCCTGTGTTTGTCGTTGAAAGTGTCCATTAAATAGTAACCCTCTTCCCAGCCAAGAACTGAACGATTTGAGGAGAAAGACAGTGGATGAAAAGCCCCAAATCACTGTTGTTACAGATAAGGCTGGTTGAAGGGCATGGCTCACGTGAGAGCCAAATGGCTTCCTTAATGCTAAACCCCAGAGTTAGCCAGCCTCACTTGCTTTGTTGCATCTGGCTGGCCTCAGACAGACACCACCAACCCCTCCCAGGAAGAGGAAGACGTGGGGAGCAGAGCTCAGCAAGCCCAGATTACTGCCCCTAAATTTACTCCAGTTTTTAAATGGTCCCCGTCCTCGCAATGGAGAGAGGAAGGGGCTGAGGGAGGATGTTCATTGTTCTCTCTCCAGGAGAAAGAGAGCATCTGGAGTGGGGAAGAACCTTTCTCCCCGGCACTGAGGTTGCATTTATTTCTTCTTAAACAAATCCCTGGGAGCTTGCTATGAAACGCTGCAGGTTTAGTACAAGATATTCCCAACGTTTGCTTTGTTCCAAATGTGGTATCCTTGCCCAGAGTACCAAAAGTATGCACATGTGGGGTCATGCCGGGGTTTGCCTTCTAACTCTCCTGGATGGCAAGGACTCCTAGGGTCCTAGCAGCTGGCCTCCCAGGTGGCTGCTCTCCAGGACCAGCTTTGTGATTTTCGGGGCCCAGTGCCAAACAAAAATAGGGGGCTCCTGTATTCAAAAAGTGCAGGGCCCGGTGGGGTTGCACAGGAGGAAGCCCGCTCTGCTGCTTCCCCACCCGCCCATCCACCACCCAGCTAAATTCTACTGGGTGTGCGCTGCATGCTGGGCACTCGTGGGTGGCGTACGTATATATGGCACTGAACCCACGTGACCACCCTATGATGGCAGTATTCCTGCCTGTACATTACAGATGAAAACACTAGACTAAGAGAGCTTGCATAACTTGCCCAAGGTCAAGTGGAGGAGCCAGAATTTGAACCCAAGTCTGTCTGCCTCCAGAGCCCATGTTCATAACCAAGATGAGTTCTACCTGCCCCCAGCATCTCCTCCCTCAGACCCATCACTGCGTTTTTGTGAGATAAGTGCTAAAGGGAGGCTGGGAGGGGTGTGACCAGCCATGCCAGGAGAAGCCTGGCCCAGAGCTGGGGACACTGCTTAGAGGGCCTCCTGGGAATCTACATTGATTGAGAATGTGGGGCAGATCTGATAAACTCTAAGGGAACTGCCTTTTTTTTTTTTTTTTTTTTTTGCCACGCTGCAAGACTTGCTGGATCTTAGTACCCCCACCAGGGACTGAACCCAGGTCACTGCAGTGAAAGCGCAGGGTCCTAACCACTGGACGACCAGGGAATTCCCTTTTTTTAAAATTTTATTTTATTATTTATTATTGTTTGTTTTTGCTTTTGCCTTTTTGATTATACAGCTGATTATGTTGTACTTTTGTTTTGGATCCGGTCTGCTTCTAAGGACCTTGATATCTCTTCATTTTCATTTCCTACCTGTGTTAGAAACATTTTATTGATCTTGCCGACCTCTCTAAGAAGCATAGTAATTCTCATGCTTAATATTTATTCATCCTCTCCAGAGGGGAAGACGTAGTCCAACATACACAGAAGCAAGTCAGTGACAGAGAGGGCAACTTGATGAGGAGATACAGAGAGGTTCAAGTATTGTCATTCTGAAGCAGGTCCAGAGCCAAACAAACAGCCCATACGTCTGTCTGAGTCCTAGGAAACTGCTGGCTGTCTTTCTAATATGAAACATGTTTTCATGGCCTGATTATGTAACAGGTTAGGTTGTTTTCTATTTTCTAAGATTCCGTTTGGCCTCTAGAAATACTTCCAATCCCCAGCCAAACATCAGTAGATTCCTGATATTCTGAGGACAGGACACCATAGGATTTGCAGAATTTGTCACCAGATCCTAAGAGTTCAGGAGGTGGTGGATTAGTGAAATACTGTCAGAGCCCATGGCTGCATGTGGCTCTTTGTGAAGACATCACAGTCTATGAATCAGATAAAGTTTGGAAATCATTCTCCCTCTCCTTTTGCGGGGATGGGTGGGGCATGGAGAGGTTTTCATAGTTTACTCTTCTAGGGACAAAAATGAGCTGCCCCAGGGTAGATTTGTGGGGAGACGAAGCGTGGAGGTAAAGTGATCTCATGAGACAGATGCTGTTTGGTTGCTGTACTTGCCCCTGTGTTTCGGGTCTTCTCAAACCATATCCGTTTTGCCTGTTGGCATTCAGTGGCATTCAGAGCCCGTGAGAAGTGAAGACGGATGTGTGTGTGGGGGTGGGTAGGGGCGCAGTGCTTCGATGAGTGCTGTGCTGGCAGCTGGCCACAGCCCGAGCATCAGCCGATCACAGCTCTCACCCGCCTCTCAGCCCCTCTCACCCACGGCACACGAGACAAGGATGCCATCCACCTCCTCTGAGACAGCTGTGTCATCAGTTAATTGACTGTAATAAACAGGCAGTGAGTGGTGCCTTAGATCTTTGGCAGAAGGTGGGAAAGTTCAGTTGAGGTCATGTTGGAAGGACGTACATACATCAGTGTAGGGTACGTGCTCTGTCCCTTCACATTCTGTTATTTGGAGCCTTCTGCTCACCGGCATAGCTCCACACTCAATGGTAACTGCTGTTTAAAGCAGGGACCCAGGGTCCAGAAACACCTTAATAATGATGATGATAATAATAATAATAGTAATAATAATGGCACACACTGAACACTTTCCATGTGCCAGGGGCTCCACTAAGTGTTTTTCTTGGACTATCTCATTCAGTTCTCATAACAACTTTATATATTTCATAAACAGGGAAACAGGATCAGAAGTAGTTTGAAACCAGAGTCTGAGTGACTCACCTTCCTAAATAAAGGACAACAAAATTATAGTTGGTCCATTTTTGCTATAGGCTTCTATCTGTCAGCTCTTGCTACATAACAAACAACCCCCAAATCTCTTAGGCATACAGTAAATAAGCATGTATTTCTTGTTGACTCTTAAGCAGGTCTGCTGGGTGGGCTAATGTCAGCTGAGCTCAGTAGGGTATCTCTAAGCAGCAAGTTGGGTCTGCATTATGTTCCAAATTCTTGCATCCTCCTTGGACCATTAGGCTGGCCCAGAGTATGTTCCAGTGGCAATAGCAGAAGCCCAAGCGTGCAAGCACATTGCAAGCCCCTGCTTGCTTCAGATCTGCTAACGTCCAGCTGACCAATGCAAGTCATTTCACAGAGCCCAAAATCAAGAGTCAGGGAAAAGTACTCCTCCCAGGTAACTGGGGAAGAGAGGGTGAATATCGTCAAACAGTAATCTACGACAAGGGTCTATTTTATTACATTCTAAGTCTTTGGAAATGGGTCATCTGAGTTTGATGT